ACCTCCATTTCGGAACGCTTTAACACACAACTGGATTCACTTAACACAAAACTGTTCAGAACTTTTTTTAAAGCGTTATGTCGCCTTTAAGTCGCAGTATAGAATGACAAAATGCAACGTATACAACGTGAGATATGGCTCACTAAAGCCATCTAACGAAAAACGCTCAAAACTATTTACTTCACCCAATATTTTCAATAAGAAATATTTCTCTTAAATTCTTGTTAAATCTGAAGAAAATTTACCTTTAATATAAAATAACTAAAACCTACTCAATACCAAACTCATTAATCAAATAATAAAAGTTTCATTCAACAAATTTGGAAAAAAAATCTCCAATTTGTTTTGCAAATTAAACTTTCATTGTTTCGCAAATGCTTCTGATTTTATGTACAAGAGTTTCGGTTTCAATCCGGAGGAAAGCTCGGATCCGCCAGACCCTGTTTACTGTCGTGTCCTCGGCTCACTAATGAATTTGCGGTGTTTTTGATGCAAATAAAAAACAATCCTTGACCAGGCAGGATTATGCAAATCAACCGTGTGCAATTTGCGTTGATTGACTGGAAATAACATCGTCCATATTATAATAGGATTACACAACATATTAATATATTAACGATGCAAATATGTATAGGGGATGATAATGAATTAATCCTCATTATTAGCTAATTGATAAATGATTTTTTTCTTTCCTTTTTGAAATGTAAAAAAGGTTTTTAAGGAAAATTATTCCAATTTGATCTAAAATTTATGGATTTTATCCGAATTTGACATTTATACTTTTTATCAATCAACAATCAATGTAAATTTTAAATAAACATTATTTATTGAATTAATTTACATTTACATATTTATAAAATAAAGTTACATGAAAATAGTAAGTATGTAATAGACAAACGAAATAAAATTCTTAAATTGGAACAAACAAAAATTAATTGAAAACTTTCCCCCTTCAGGTTTTGGAAAAATGATGTTGCTTCATGTTTGATATAATTTCAGCGGAAGCGGAAGCATTTGAATCTCAGTTTTTTGGAAAAAAAAAGTTATCTGTAATGGAATTCAAACGTAATAGTTAGAGCCTTCGAACACCTTAATGTGAATAAATCTTTCGTGTCTCGAACCATAACACGTTATAACGAAGCTAGTAGTGTTACAAAATGCTATTTCGGTGTGGTAGAAGTGGTTCAGAATCTTATGGCTTAAATTAAATGATATTAGTATCTGAACATATCGAAAATAACCATACAAGGAATACTCAAAAACGAACTAAAAGTAAAGCTTTACAAGATCTCACCTATGTTAAATATTGTCAAATATCGTCTTGTCTGATGAGAAAAATTTCTCATTTGAGAAATTCGTAAACAAACAAAATGATCTAATTTACTTAGAAGAGAGATCAAACGAAATCTTAGATATTCCAATGGCCATAAGAAGTCAAGTATTAACGTTTGTGGTAGTTTGGGAGGCTGTGACGGTAGATAGTCGCTCTCCGTTGATGTTTTTGGACCGTGGCGTCAATGTTAATGCGAATGTTTATTACGAATACGCAATAAATTTAAAGTTTGAAAAATAAACACATCTTGCAAATAATGAACTTTTCATATTTAATTTGTATATTTACAAAAAAAAATCCAATTTTTTTAAAAAATCTAATTTTTTTGTATTTTGTACAAATTTGAATAAGTAAATTACCTGTAATTAGCAAAATTTAAAGCAGTAATTTCAAAATTTCAAAAGATACTATGATTGATGAAATTCTGAAAAATCTTAAATTTGTGTATTTTGTGCAAATATAAACTAAAAGCCCTTTGGCCAGCCTATTGATATATATTTTTATTATATGTTAAAATTTATCTATATACAAATTGTACTTTTTTTTTTCTTCTTCTTATGTATTAATGTTTGGCCAATAAATTATTATTATTATTATAAACTAAAAGTTAGTGAAAATTACAGGAATATATTGAAAATTTTGAAGAAAAAAGACATCTTGCGAATATTAAAATTTTCATATTTAATTTGTGTATTTTTAAGGCTTGAATTGAAAGAAATTAGTAGCTGAACATATCATACAACGAATACTCAAAAACGAACTAAAAGTAAAGCTTTACAAGATCTCACCGATGTTAAATATTGTCAAATATCGTCTTGTCTGATGAGAAAAATTTCCCATTTGAGAAATTCGTAAACAAACAAAATGATCAAATTTACTTAGAAGAGAGATCAAACGAAATCTTAGACATTCCAATGGCCATAAGCAGTCAAGTATTACCGTTTTGGGAGGCTGTGACGGTCGATAGTCGCTCTCCGTTGAAGTTTTTGGACCGTGGTGTCAATGTTAATGCGAATGTCTACTACGAAAAAGTTTTGGAAGATGCTCTGAAGCCGTGGACAACTAAACGTTTCAGTCAGAAACAGTAGACGTTTCAAGAATATTTTTCAGCATCACACACAAAGCACACGAAAACCAACAATTGCTGAGAGACAACGTTGCATTCTTCATTTCGACCGAACAGTAGCCTTCACTGTGACCAGATACAAATCCGCTCGACTTCTCAGTATAGGGCATTTTACAGGCCAATGTGAGCAGGAAGATTCCACAGGTTCACATTCGCTCAAGTATGGAAAATTTGAAATGAATTCAAAAAATTTAATTGTTTTCCAACAATTTTTTTGCTTTTGGTTCAATAAAATCCAATTCCAAATAAAAGAAAAAAGCGTTCTGAAAACTTGCAGTTCAATTGGTCGACCCTGTACAAAAATATTTATTTCTTTATTAATTCTTTCAGTAAACTTGGAATGTAAACGCAAACATTGAAATGTACATTACACAAAAGATTTAAAGTAAAAGGCAGTCGTTTAATATGAGATAGATTAAAAAAAAATCATATTTTCTTGTCATTTTATAATATTTAGTTGGGTTACATGCAATTCGTGTACGTCGTCGAGTGCTTTACATAGGATTAATTAAATTCCTCCGTTCGCAATATTCTAAATTGGGACGCATCCTGTTTCCTTTTTTTTATCCTTTTCTGTTTGCTTTTTTTCTTCTTTTATTTGATTCTGCTTCTTTTTTTTTTTGGACGGATTCCTGTGATTCTTATTAAAATTCTCGTATGCATGTCCACGTCAGACAACGTTTTCGAATCAACAATTCATTATCCTTCCAGTTTAGATATGTACGTAACCACGAATAGCTCCAAAGCAAACAAGGATTATTTATATACTGTTGTCTATGTGTGTTTCTCTAATTCCACTCGGCAATTACATACACTGTACTACATCTACATCTGGATTTCCGCCGCGTTCGATCCACATCCGTTATTACACATCTACATATCATCTCCATGTTTACCATCTACAAAGCTCTCATCATTTGCACGATATTAATGCTATTGATGTGCTTTTTTAACCAGTCTGAAATTTGTGTAATTTGTCTAAATTTGAATAACTAATTTACCTGTAATTAGCAATAGATTCAAGAGATACTATAATTACTTAATTGATGAATTTTCAAAAAATTTAAATTTGTGTATTTTGTGCAAATTTAAACTAAAAGATAATAAAAATTACAGCAATAAATTTAACCATTAAATAATGTACTTTTCATATTTAATTTGTGTATTTACAAAAAAAAAACTGAAATTTGTGTATTTTGTCTAAATTTGAATAAGTAAATTACCTGTAATTACCAAAATTTATAGCAGTATATTCCAAATTTCAAAATAAACCGTAAATACTTGATTGATGAATTGTGAAAAATCTTAAATTTGTGTATTTTGTACAAATTTAAACTAAGAGTTAGTAAAATTTACAGGAATAAACAGAAAATTTTGAAAAAAACACATCTTGCATTTATTTACAAAAAAAATATCCAATTTGAAAAAAACCCTGAAATTTGTGTATTTTGTACAAATTTTAATAAATAAATTACCTGTAATTAGCAAAATTTATAGCAGTAAATTGAATATTTCAAAAGAAATCCAGAAATACTAGATTGATGAATTTTGAAAAAACTTAAATTTGTGTATTTTGTGAAAATTTAAACTAAAAGTAATAAATAAATAGCAATAAATTTAAATTGTGAAAACAAAAACACATCTTGCAAATAATATACTTTTTATATATTTATTTATTTACAAAAAAATATTCATTTTTCTTTTAAATTCTGAAATTTGTACATTTTATCCAAATTTGAAAAAGTAAATTAGCTTTAATTATCAAATTTGTAGCAGTAGATTCAAAATTTCAAAAGAAACCGTAAATACTTGATTGATGAATTGCGAAAAAACTTAAATTTGTGTATTTTGTGCAAATTTAAACTAAAAGTTAGTAAAATTTACAAAAAATCTCCAATTAAAAAAAATCTGAAATTTGTGTATTTGACAAATTGTTGAAAGTTTTATAAAACTGAAATTTAACAAATTTCAATTAACAAAAAAAGTGAAAATCAATAAGTTTAACGGTTTTATATCCAAATTCAATTAATTGTGTCAAAATACAATATATTATAAACTTCTTATAAATGAAAGTTGATATCAACAAATAATTTCACTATCGACATGTAATTTTATGAAATTTTACAAAAAATATACCAAATTTGTAACGAATTATTTCAATTAACTATTATTATATTACAGAAACGTTTTTAGTTTTGCATTGCTTTCAGAAATTGTCCATAATCACGCTTAAATAATTAAACTTTTTCACAATCTAAGTTATAATCCAAAATTACTTTTATATTTCATAAACCAATTAATTAAAAAAGTGAGCCGATTGCAACTTGCCCCGCTGTTATGCAATTGTCTATTACATTCCCAAGATTTATACAAAGAAAAACAAAAAAAATCATTACTTTTTTTTGTATTGTTCTATTCTCTCTATTTCATTTGTCTCGATTTTCTACAACTTCCACTTCGTTCTTCCACCACTTCTTTTCCTTATTTCATTTCTCTTTTGCCATGGTTCGCGAGTCTAAATCCCAAATTGGTGTATTTCAGAGGGACAAAGAATTACAGCAGGGCAAGGTGTAAGGCTGCCCAAGAAACTCTTAAAATGCGGTCGCGCCCTACAAGCAGCAGGTAAGACAAATTGAATTTCTTCACCCGAAATTTTCCAACCCTCCCAACAGAATAACATAGAGAGAGAGAGAGAGAAAATATAGAGGAAGAAAAATGTAATTGAGTTCATAAACTTTCTCCGTCGTTCCACGTCCATCCTCTAGCGATTATTCACGTAAATGTCCATTTATTTTTAACGAGGAATTTCGTGTATTTCCGGATGCGCTTCTTTTACATAAAAAAATACACGAATTTTCATTAAACACAAACGCACGGTTATTTATTTTTTAATAAAAACGTTTCTTGGCAGAACGTGTTATATATTAATATTCTGTGAAAAGAATACCAACTTTCCAAAAACTTCTCTTCTCTCCAATTTTCTCATTATCTCTTTGCGTTTGCATCGTGCAAATGAAGGCCGTTTTGGTAGTGGCCCAAAGGGCGAAATGTAAAGTTTCTTTAATAATGCAAAACTGTGTGCGCGCGCGAAATGCCTCCTGCACTGCATCAACTTGTCAGGACAGATATGATGTACATATTTATGAATCTGAACTTTCATCCCTACGTTAAACTCTTGGTTTTATGCTAATCGCGTCTCTCAACCCGGACATTGTTTCCTCTTTTCAGCGCAATTAAACACACCCAAAAAGGCATTAGCATCCGTATCTTATAAAACTCTCAACTTTATAACCTAAAGATTTTACCCTTAAAGTACAAGAATTACAGCTATTTTGTATATAATTACTATAATAAATCCATTTCTTTCACAAGATAAAATTCATGATTTTTCATATTTAAATCACAGTAAAATCACATTTACTTTTCAAGAAATTATTATAATAAGGAAAGACTTAATAAATGAAATAATCACAATTCAATTATATCATTAAGATAACAACAATTACAACTGTAAGTTTATGGTAACTACTTGTCGTTCTTAGCAACCGACGCGGCGTCTCTAGCAACCAATGTGGCGTCCTTAGTAACCGATTCGACGTCCTTAGCTACCGAAGCGGCGTCCTTAGCAACTATCATTAAATGCATAACGTAAACGCAAAACGTTCATAAAACTATTCAATGAAACAAATTGTTCTAGTAATAATTATAGTTATTTATTAAATAACATCTATTATGAATTTAGTGTGCTATAACTAATAAAATTGTAATAAGTATTAATTGTAACTAGTAACAAAGACAAAGCATATTCAATTGTAATAAAGGTCAAAGTCCAATTACAATTAAAACCGATATTTACGCTGAATCGACATATTTGCATCACGAAATTAACAATACATGTGGTGAAATTAATACCAGAAAATGTTTACTAAAATAGTCATGCCTCCTGCACTGCATTAACTTGTCAGGACAGATATGATGTACATATTTATGAATCTGAACTTTCACCCCCACGTTAAACTCTTGGTTTAATGCTAATCGCGTATCTCAGCCCGGACATTGTTTCCTCTCTTCAGCGCAATTAAACACACCAAAAAGGCATTTGCATCCATATCTTATAAAACTCTCAACTTTATAACTTAAAGATCTTACCCTTAAAGTACAAGAATTATAGCTATTTTATATATAATTACTACAATACATTCATTTTTTTCACAAGATAAAATTCATGATTTTTCATATTTAAATCACAGTAAAAATCACATTTTTTTTTTCATGAAATGATTATAATGAGAAAAGTCTTAATAAATTATATAATCACAATTGAAATTTTAATATGAAATTCTATTTTTTTTTACTTCTGTAATATTAAAGACAAAAGTTCATCCAATTAGAGCCTTGTATAAAAGGACTCGATTCAATTTATAATTACGTTACAAAACATACCTTTTTGTCTCATTTAATTAGATTAAACAACTCGATTCTAATGCTTTTTCAAATTTCAGTCTAACCTTATTCATTAAAACGTGAACAAAATTTTTAGGAATTAATAAATTATACTCGAACTGTACCTTTTATGATATTATCTAATAAAACTCTCCTTTCTATATAATATATATGGTAAAATAAGCCATAGCGGGGATTTTTACGATGTGTATGTTTTTTTTATTATTGCATCCATTATAATATAACAACAATTACAACTGTAAGTTATTCTTGATAACAACTTATTGTCCTTAGCAACCTATGCGGCGACCTTAGCAACTATCATTAAATGCATAACGTCAACGCAAAACGTCTGTAAAACTATACGTTTTAACAATGAAACAAATTGTTCTAGTAATAATCATAGTTTTTTTATTAAATAACATTTATTATGAATTGAAACATTTATTATATATGATGAATTGTGCTAAACTAATGAAACTATAACCAAATTATAATAAGTATTAATTGTAACTAGTAGCAAACACAAAGCATATTCAATTCTAATAAAGGTCAAAATCCAATTGCAATTAAAACCGATATTTTCGCTGAATCGACATATTTGCATCACGAAATTAACAATTCAGTATTGTTTGATGAAATTAATACCACAAAATGTTTACTAAAATAGTCATGTTTAGCAGGGCTAAATTAATAATACAGTTTCATCTGTTCCTTTATGCGCTCCCACGGCCTGCTGAAAACTCCATTTCCTGGCTTGATCCAAAGTAATACCAGTCGAGGGAATTTTTATACTTCGTTCATTTCTCCTACGCTTTATCCAGTTTTTCTTCTCCTGTATTTCGTTATCTCATGCGATTTGCTCATCTCACAAAATCCAGCGATATTCTAGAAGACGTAAGATGGGTGGTGTTTTGTTTGTTTTTGCCACAACACGATTTATTCAAAATGCAAGTCACCTGCGAATAACATCATTACGTAGACTTTCTTTTAATAAGTAATTGTTTTCCAGCATTTCGCAGTTTTTAATTAAAGAATATTTAATTTGAATTCATTATTTTCGCTGTAATTACTACAAAAAAAATAATAAAAAAAATCGCATTTTAATTAAATTTTATATACATTTGACATCACTACGATTATTTATTGTATGTGTAGTTTAATTAATTTTATATAAGAGATTTCTACACAATACTTTCCAAGTAACAAATCAGTGAGTTAACTGTTTTGACAAGTTGATTTTTTGTTGTTAACAAATACTTACACTTTTTATGCTTGTACAAGTTGTCAAAAACAAATAATTAGTAAATTAAGTTCACAAGTTGTTTTTTTTTTATTGAAAAATAATGACATTACTTGTAAAAGTTGTCAAAAGCAAATAATTAACTAAGTTTACAAGTTGATTTTTTTATTGTTGACAAATACTTACACTTTTTGTACTTGTACCAGTTGTCAAAAGCAAATAATTAATGAGTAATTAAGTTCACAAGATGATTTTTTGTTGTTGACAAATACTTACACTTTTCATACTTGTACAAGTTGTCAAAAGTAAATAATAAATCAGCAATTAAGTTCACAAGTTGTTGTTTTTTTGTTGACAAATACTTACATTTTTGTACTTGTACAAGTTGTCAACAGCAAATAATTAATAAGTAATTAAGTTCGTAAGATGATTTTTTGTTGTTGACAAATACTTACACTTTTCATACTTGTACAAGTTGTCAAAAGCAAATAATAAATCAGTAAATTAAGTTTACAAGTTGTTTTTTTTTGTTGTTGACAAATACATACACTTTTCATACTGGTACAAGTTGTCACATTCAATTAATTAGTAATTAAGATCACAACATAACACATAGAATTACGTACTTATCTAAATCAAAAAAAAATCATGTAAAATTTTAATAGTTTAAATCATGAAATTGAAAATATGTTGAAGAATAAAGTATTTTCCTTCTCCTCCCTTGCAAAACCCTACAAAAGTAGCGTCACAAATATTTTATATGTACTCAAATCACTCTAATTCTCTTGCAGTTTACTGATTTAACACTGCCCTTTTCAATGTAAATAAACATGATTTTTCTATAAAAAAAGAAACTAACAATAACTAAAAGAACTAATAAAGAAATCACTTATATTAAATTAATAGGATCACTATAAGAAAATTAACAAATCTTTAAGAGTTTATGTATAAGTAAACTTTCTTAAATGTAAATAATTTATAAATGTTGTAAATTAATTACATAAATAAAAATGAAACTAAACGTAGTCAAAAAAATAAATGAAATTCATATCATTATTGAAAATGAACACAATTATTATTTTATGAACACAAAAAGTTATTTTTTTTTTTCTATTCCTAAAATATTTGCTCGCAATACAAACAATAGTACACAAAACAAGTAATTGTAAACGTAAAATGTTGCAATCAATGAAAATTATTTACAGTGACTACATTTTATTTGTATAGTTTTTTTTATAAAATTGTCCACTTTTATATATTTATAATATGGAATTTGTATGTATTCTGTGGCAAAGCAGTAATTTTCAAATAAATCAATGTTTATAGATATAAGATTAATCCAAGCGAATTTAATGAAATCATCCAATCAGTGATCAAATATATAAATTACAAAACCATTAAAATTCAATAATAAATTTATATTGTTACATTTATTATAATAAAAAAATATATGTTTGAAATCAAATATGGTTTTCAACTGTAATTCAATATTTTCAGCTGTAATTTGCACAGAAAATGCAACAATTTATGCAATGGGATTTCGTAATGAAATCGTTTGGGTAATTTCATATTCCTACTGTGAATCATTGGTCAAGGTATTGATTGACCGCTCTTCGCCCATTTATAATTCAGGAAGCTATAATTTGCTAAATATTCCAACTTCTCGTTTCTACCGCTCGAAATACACATTAAATGCAGGTATCCCCCCGACTTTCGAACTAGTTTCGTTCCAAAGGGTTGTTCTTAAGGGTTGCACTTTCTCATGGTTTTTACTTTTATATATGTTAAATTTCGAATTACTGACTGCATAAATTTGAAAAAAATAGATTAAAATAAACGAAATACTTACAGACATCACAATTATTTAATAAAAAAACAACAAAAGAAATAAATGCAACAAAATAGATAGTACATCTTTCAAAAATATTATATTTTATTAAAGAAATTATCAATTTTAGTTTGGACAGTTATTCTTTTATCACTATATATCTCTTTGTAACAAGTTAGAGCTTCTAGAATTTTGTTCGTAAGTCCGGGAGTTCGTAAGTCGGGGGATACCTATCCTTGTTTTCTTCGAGCCTCTGGCACTTGGCATTAATTGTATGCGTTGAATTGTAAAATATCGTAGCCACTCTTGTGCAAAATTTATGAGGAAAACCGCACTGTAGTCGAGGGAAATCAGGCGGATGCGCCAGGTGTATAAAACCTCAAATATCACGCACTTTTCGTTTATATATGAGAAAAGCGTTTGTGTACAGTAAAAAAGATGAATTTATTGCTTTTCTTGAAGAAAGTTGAATGTAATTTAAAACAAAATTTTCAAACAAAATTTGTCACAATTAATTTAACAAATATTACCAAGCAATGATTATTATATATTGTAAAAAATAAACAAATCAATATATTTATAATGTTTTTGTTCTATTATATTACTTTTATAATAATAATTATTAATAATAATCAATAACTAACAAATTTAAAACAACTAAAATATTTCTACTTTCAAACTAAATATATTAGTTTTTTTTTTTCGATTTATTTCCTTTTCAAAATTTCAGAAAAATTCATCGATCAAACAAAAGACAGCTTTTTCTGGATTTCAGGTAAATGAAAGGAAATTTGACAAATCATACAATTTATTGCACTCGACGTAGATAAATGTTTTCACATAATTCATCATAAAGAAATTTTTAAATCTGACAATTTAAAAATAATGTACATAAATAATAATACAAATCCTAAGAAATGCTCATAAAACGTACAGAAACAAATCATATTTCTGGATTTAAAAAAAAAACAACAAAAAATATATTGTATAAAAATGATGATTAATCATTTGACTAAGTGAAATATTCTTTGTAAAGAAAAATGGATTATTTTTTTTATTTAATTTAAACCTGAAAATAATTTGTATTTTATTAGTACTAATTATATGAATGTGTACCAATTATGTTTAGATAAAATTACCTTAAATCCAATTTCCTGCATACGTTTTATATTAAAAAAATATGACCTCATTTCAAATATCTAGATCAAAGTCATCTCATCTTTGACGTTCCGGAAATACACTTTTCTCGAGTTTTCCTATTGCAAAGACGTCTGTCGATGGAAATTCGCAATGCAAATATTGATCAAGAATAGCATTTTTCTCTCTGTATAAATAAAATTCTAAGTTATTTCTTTCGTATACATTACAAATCATTGGGACATATTCAGGGAGCTACTTCCTTTTATTGATAAGAAGAACTCTAATAACTGCTTTCTTATGATCAGCAAGCTTCTTCTCCGACGATGGGCCTTGGCTCCTCGAGAGCACCAAAAACAATCCTTTTGAGCACACAAATATATATCAAAAATCTTCTCCATTGCAGACCTCCACCGTCTCTCTTCGCGGTTCGATCCGGTCTCCCCGAACTTTTAGAAGCATAGTTGTCTACTTTACCACGTTACAAAGTCTTAAATTCATTATTATATTACAAGTACGACGATTTGAGTGAATTAAATGAAAATTATTTAAATTTTTGATTAATTAGTAAAATATATAAGAAAATGTACAAAAGTAAAGACTTGAGTACGTGAAGAAATATTGCAATTTATTTTAAATAGAAAACCTGACTTCATCAATTGCAACACCCAAAGGACAACCATAGAAATTGCTGTAAGATGTAAATGTAAATATAAATTATAAAAAATAATTTGTTTCTTGAAATATCGTCGGTTTTTATTGATCAAACTTTTTCATCTGAATTACATTTTTAATAAATTTACATGGAAATTTTGTGTTATTTATATCCTTTTTTGTTATATAATTGTACATATTTTAAAAGATTCAAGTAATTTTATTTAACAAGTTTTTCCACCTGAAATATAAGAGATATTAAAAAAAATAATTATAGTTGTTTCTTAAAATATCGTCGGTTTTTATTGATCGAACTTTTTCATCTGAATTAAATTTTTAATAAATTTACATGGAAATTTTGTGTTTTTATATTCTTTTTTTGTTATATAATTGTACATATTTTAAAAGATTCAAGTAATTTCATTTATCAAGCTTTTCCACCTGAAATATGAGAGAAATTAAAAAAAATAATTATTGTTGTTTCTTGAAATATCGTCGGTTTTCATTGATCGAAATTTTTAATCTGAATTAAATTTTTAATAAATTTACATGAAAATGTTGTCTTTTTATGTCTTTTTTGTTATACAATTGTACATATTTTAAAAGATTCAAGTAATTTCATTTATCATGTTTTCTCACCTGAAATATGAGAGAAATTAAAAAAAAAAATATAGTTGTTTCTTGAAATATCGTCGGTTTTCATTGATCTAACTTTTTCTTGAATTAAATTTTTAATAAATTTACATGGAAATTTTGTGTTTCTATATCTTTTTTGTTATATAATTGTACATATTTTAAAAAGATTCAAGTAATTTTATTTAACAAGCTTTTCCACCTGAAATATGAGAGAAATTAAAAAAAAATAATTATAGTTGTTTCTTGAAATATCGTCGGTTTTCATTGATCGAACTCTTTCATCTGAATTACATTTTTAATAAATTTACATGGAAATTTTGTGTTTCTATGTCTTTTTTGTTATATAATTGTACATATTTTAAAACGATTCAAGTAATGTTATTTAAATTTAGTTTTTATATAATATTTGTATTATGTAATTGTGCAAATTTGAAGATATTGTCAAATTCCAAAAAAGTTCACCTGTAATATGATTTCAATTTTCAATTTTAAAATTTTTATTTACATATTTGTACTACAATGACACAGGGTGTGATATTAAATGTAGACTGCTATGGGCTTTAGCCTCTTTCAGCCTTCTGTTATTAGGTTTTACAAAAAAAAATATGAAAGAAATTCTTATATAATTATACATACTTTCAAACATTACTATAATAGATAATACAATAGTATTATTTTTACTAATTACTCATTAAATTTAGAAACATATTTAAATTTAATGAATTATTAAAATTGATTCAAATATTACATTTTTATAAATAAATTGATTACTATAATTAATATTGAATTGGAATTTTATATATTAATTTACAGTTAAATGAATGCAAAGTGCGCGCATTTCTATTTAGAGAAAAATCGTAAGTTAAAAGATCAACAGTATCTGATAAGTTGCTTCATTATATCCATGGTTTTAATCCGGAAATAATTGCTTCGCTCAGCTTGATGTCGATGCAAACGTGCGTTAGGTGAATTGGCCCCTAATTTGAGTCGAATGAATGGTTTCAGGAATTGATTCACTAATTGGTATAATTATGTTCCAGCTGGATCCGGAGCGACGAGAAGCACAGCGATGATCCACGGCGTTATAACGAACAAGTCACAAACCAATCGACCCGAAAACCATTACGAAGGTCTTCTGCCCAAGGTAAGAAGTCTCATCAAAATACCACCAATATTCATCAATCATCATATTATATTAACTTAATGGTTATAATTAATAGTTTCTAAATAAAAAATAAAGTTACATCAAGAAGAAAAAAAATCTTGGATTTTCTGTGAATATACACACAAAACACCACCAATATTCATCAATCATTACATTATTAATTTACTATAGTTTTCTAAATAATAATAAAGTTACATAAAGCAGAGAAAAATCTTGTTTTAATTAATTAATTTTAATTTAATTTTCTGTGAATTTGCACACAACATACCACAAACATTCATCAAAGTTACTCGTAACAAACAATAGTTTCTAAATACTAATAAAGTTGCGCCAAGAAGAAAATTTATAAATTTGATATATTTTTTAATCAAAAATAAGTATTTGCGACAATTTCTTATTTCAATTGGATTTTCTATGAAATTGCACACAAATAGCACAAACATTCATTTAAGTTACTCACAATAAACAATAGTCTCCAAATATTATGCTAAGGATTCGTCAAGTAAAGAAATTATTAATTTAGTAATTTCTTTTTACAAAAATAAATAATTTTCAATGCGAAAATTTCTTGTTTTAATTGGATTTTCTATGAATTTGCACACAAAATACCACAATCAATCATCTAAGTTACTCATAATCAGCAAAAGTTTCCAATTACTATTAATGTTACGTCAAGTAGAAAAATTATTAATTTATTAAAAAAAAAAATCTTATGCGATTTTTTCTTTCTATTAATTGAATTTTCTGTGAATATGCACACAAAATACCACAAACATTCCTCGAAGTTACTCATAATAAGCAATAGTTTCCAAATACTATTAAAGTTACGTCAAGTAGAGTAATTATTAATTTAGTATTTTTTTTATTACAAAATTAAATATTTTTTCTATTCGAAAATTTCTTGTTTTAATTGTATTATGAATTTGCACACAAAATACCACAAACAATCATCTAAGTTACTCATAATAAGCAATAATTTCCAAATGCTAATAAAGTTACGTCAAGTAGAAAAATTATTAATTTATTTAAAAAAAAAAAAATATTTTTTTTTCTATGCGATTTTTTCTGTTTTAATTGAATTTTCTATGAATTTGCACTCAAAATAGCACAAACATTAATCTAAATTACTCATAAAAAACAATAGTTTCCAAATACTATACTAAACTTATATCAAGTAAAGAAATTATTAATTTAGTATTTTTTTTTTACAAAATAAAATTTACAAAATTTCTTGTTTTAATTGGATTTTCTATGAATTCATATATCAATATATCCACATTATTAAGTTACTGGTTATAATCAATAGTTTCTAATACATATAAAGTTACATCAAGAAAAAACATTGATTTGGTTTTTTTTTTTAAAAATATCCATATTTTTTCTATGCCAAAATTCCCTGTTTTAATTGGAATTTGTTATGAATATACAAAATCCAATAACGTGTCTTGTTTCACTATTTGCGTATCCGCATTTATTATTAAACTCGATCTAAAAACAAAGTAAACATGCGAATTTGTTTGAAAAAAAATCATTTAAATTTCGGTTTTTGTTTATTCACACTTATCGTACGAATAATTCCCATTGAGAAGAAGTTGATGATCCCTAGCGCTTCGTTAATTAGGTGTAGTTGAAGTTTACTTTTTTTTCCTTTTGCTAGAACTGAAAGAACGGCGAAAAAATGCTGAAATTACTGCGGTATTTCCATGAATAAATTTTAATAAAAGCGGCCCTTTGTGCGCGAAAAACAAACGAGAATCGCAAACAAAAAAAATACAAATGTGTATAAGCAAACAACAAAGGCGGCCGCGTTATCGGGAGGTATCAAAAGAGAAAAGATTGGAGGAAAATCCGCTTTTCTTTCCATTCAGCTAACCGTGGATGAATAATGTTTTCTTGTCTAGGAATTGAGCATAACATTGCGTATACGATTAGTGCGGATTCAAGGTTTGGAAATGTCAGAAAAAAACTAAATTTCCATTGAACAAAATATAAATACTTTCTAGTATACTAAATTATTACATACAATCAAGTCTCTTATTGTCCGTTTTAGATCCTCAATTAGTCTGGTTTTACAGATTGCTGTAATTATTAATTGCTTTTGAAATTGATTCCGTTTTTTCCTACTTGCTTTTCATTTTTTTGGGGGTTTCAACTAAAACGTTTTTAATAAAGCTTTAAACCTAAGCTGAGGGTGAAAGAGGGATGAAAAAAAAGGAAGAGCACTAAGCACGTGTGCGTTTTAAGCAGCTTACGTCGAGTTTTCGAGAACTTTCTGTTGCTCAGAGACTTTTTACATCCCAGTTAATTCCCAACTTGTTGCTTTAACTTTAATAGGCAATAATCGTGAAGACATCTTGAAAGCAACAATCAATAACCATCAAACAGTTTTAATAGAGAATCATTAATTTCTACTATTAATCAAAGAATTTCCGCTGAAATAATTTCTATATTTTTACTTTTATTAGTATTTCACTTATGATATATTAATAATGCGATAAACTGGACTAATAATAAAGCTCTTAATGTCAAATCAATATTAAGGAGAAGGTGATTAACTGTTTCTTCCAAACTCATCAATCTTTATTATTATCACTTTCAACCCTCCAAAACTAATATACAAGGTGGCGCAAAAGAAAATACGAATTAGCAAGATTCAAATATCTTTCTTTACATTTATCAATGATTAAAATGATTATTTAATTCAATATTTCTTACATAAAGCAACAAAAGTTTAGTTCTATTTTTGAGACATTTTCATTAAATTTAGAAATCTCAATATTCGCTTTCAACTCAAAAAAAATATTATGATTCCAAAAAAAAAACTAATATAATTATAATTTCATTCTATCAACTTTAATTAAGTTTATTGTTTGTTGACTTAAAAGTGATTCAAGTCAAAAGTGATTTTGTGATTTCGAAATTTCCATAAGAAAATCTATAATAAAAATTACAAAAAATAAGCTGCAAATTCTTCTTTAAATTGATTAAAACGTTTTATATGATTCAGGTTTTATTAACTGAAATGTAGACTTTATTTAAATTTTATATTCGTTTTATATTCATTTGAAAACTTTTAATTAACTTCTGTATTTTAACAAAACCTATGATATTGTAAAGTAAATTTGTGTTTTATAAATCGAGTGAGTAAAATTTCCTTAATCAAAAGCCATTGTTTCTTAAATAACGAATCCTTTTGTTACATAATTAATGATAACTTTAACGAAATGTTAAACTGAATTTTATAAATAATCAATGATTTTTTTTTGTTACATTATTTTCAGAACAAAACATATAAAAATTAGATTTTAATTATTTGAAATCATCATGAAATTATAATTTTAATGAAATTCATAAAAAAAAATTGGATTAAAATTTTGCATTGTGCAAAAAAACGAAATTGTTCTAATAAAAAGTTATTGATGAAGCAATTTATATAAAATAATTAAATTTTCCAAAGTAAACACAAATTTTTACTTGAAATTCATAAAAATCTATATTATATGTTGAGTACAGGAAAAGTTTAAAAATTGGTTCAAAACTTTTCAAAAAAAAATGTTATTTACTTAAATAATATACACAATATTTGAATTATTGAAATCACAAACAAATTATTAATTAAAATTTTGAGAATTTTGAAATATTTATCTAAAAAGAAAATGAAAAAGAAAATCGTAGATTTTGCAAAAATTGTTAAAATCAATAGATTATGCTAAATCGACTTTTCCTCTAAGATTATTGTAATTATATTAATTGAGACTTTAAACAGTATTTTTTCAAAACAATTGTAAGATTTAATGCATATAAAAATTGATAGTAAATAACGAAAAAAACTACTCAACTATTCTACTTATAATAATAATAAAAAACGTATTAGAAATGTAATTGCATCATAATTGATTGGTATATTATAAATTACAAATAATTACGTAAATTGGAGCGGATTTTGTAGAGGAAACAAGGAAGCATTGTTCGCACGTAAACAAAGCCCGCACTCGCGTTGAACACGGATCGTTTCGAATATTGCGAATTACGTAATTGCAGATTCGTTAAACCGCAAATGGAATTGACGGCTATGGAAACCAGGATAAAAGCCGCAACATCTACACAAATGCTCACCGAAAAAGAAAGAAAAAAAAACAATTCCAACGTACTGTCCTTCCAAAATATAAAAGACAATGGAATTATTTTCATCAATTTGCGTACGCGTCTTCGATCGTTTCACAATGGAATTTAATAGGGTGTAACGTGAATTTCAGAATGATTAATTCGTGCATTCCAAAGTTGGAAACGCTACGTGACAGCAGGTGAATAAATATTCGCATTACGAAACGACACGATGAGAATTGACGTAGAAAACAACGTTATTTTCTTCTTTTGTTTATCTTCTTTTATTTTATTTAAATCCGTACAGATTCGTTTCCGGTTTGGCGCGAAATCAATGCGCGTTTTCTCATTCCCCGATAAATATTTGACGTTCGTCTCTGATTCTCTGTCTGTGTGTGTCTTCATGCGTGGTATTGAAACATCTTCCGGCGAATGGTCTTTGTTTAGTTCCATCCAGATATCGCCCGCAAAATAACCAAACAGACCCACGGCAATCGTTTTTTTTTCTTCGTCAAACAAAATGGAAATGTATAATAGGCATACCAATGTGCACACACAGAAAAAAAATTGTTTCGCAAACAAGTCGATCAATCATTTGTTACGTGCGAAATTTCACAATTTTTTTTTGCACTCGGAAACGATTTTTGTACACACTCTCACGTCAACGAATAATCAAACTACTGCAAGTTTATTTATAGAATGTAATTGTTGTTACATGTACATTATGATATATTTTTCAATAACGAGTTACCTTCTTTCAAACCTAATTTTATATAATCATTTTAACTAGAATAACTTTAAATGTTTTCTATTTAAATCTTTGAGTAATGACTCAATACATTTTCAAATCGATTTAATTAAGAAACAGAAAAAAAATGAACTTTCCATTTTTCTTGGAAAAATCAGATTTTCTTGTTAATAAAAGACATAATCAACTTTTCAGTGTTGTGTTATATACGAAATATTTTGTACTTTAAATGTTTGTCAGTTTTTTCTAATTATAATTAAATTTATTTACTTTTTTTTCATATTTACTTGAAAATTTGAAATATTTCCATGAATTCCCACATTTCACAATAATAATAATCTTTATTAGTTACAATGCAACCAGAGAGGTATCGACCTAAGGCTTTCTGCTCAGAGATACAAAAAACCTAAATTGTCACAATAAGTCATATAAAAAAAGTAAGACATGTAAATATAAAAAAAAATGAAATTATAAATTAAGCCAAATAAAAGTAAATCTTCTCAAAATTAAACAAATAATAATATATTCTGAAGCATCATTCGGCTGAAGAATGATAAAATTCGACCGGGGCACTGACTATCCACTCTTCATGATGAAAGAACCGGCCGTTCCCTGATTCACATCCGTAGGAGACTTCCGCTCCCGGTCATCCACATCGAACATTAGAACATGAACATGATGTCCCAAAAAGTTGTCTATAAATCGTCTTTTCAAACGCTGCAGCAACTCTGCGCAATTTTCTGCATTCTTTGGCGAGTTTAATTTATTAATCTACATGTTAACTATGGGGTCATGTATTGTTATTGGCCTGTGAATTCTGTTGTCCTGAAGGTCTTTAGGTAGATCACACGTCCTTTTATTAAGTGGCCTTACTTTGATGTTAGGTATACCCGGTATGGGTTTTGTTGGCCTCTTCGGACATTTGGAAGACCATGCAGCATGACCCTCCGAGTTGCATGCCATACATGCATTTTTGCTGTGGCAAAGTGCATCGGTTTGTCGGTTGTTCGCCCTATCATTTGGAGCACTTGGTCTAGCTCGGACATCCGTCCGTTGCGTGAGTGAATTGTTGATACCTGGCGCAAGGCAACATGAAACAATCAATGTAAATTTTAAATAAACATTATTTATTTAATTAATTTGCATTTACATATTTATAAAAAAAAGTTACATGAAAATAGTAACAAATAGTAATAGACAAACAAAATAAAATTCTTAAATTGGAACAAACAAAAATTAATTGAAAACTTTCCCCCTTCAGGTTTTGGAAAATGATGTTGCTTCATGTTTGATATAATTACTTTAAAATTGGGACTTTTTGATGTAAGAGCAATTTGAATACAGTCTTCGGCGTTTAATCGATTTCTGTTTTTCGTTTTTTTATGTTCATTAGAGTGGAAAAGCCTTGTTCACAAAGGTAGGTTGTTGCAAGGATTTCTTAACCCTGGGACACGACAGTTCATTAGAGTGGAAAAGCCTTGTTCACAAAATTAAGTTGTTGCAAATGGCAGCAATTTTTTTACCGCATCCTCATGTGCAATTTTTATTCGAAGACATACACCTAGATTCTAATGGCAGCAATTCTTTTACCGCCTCCTCATGTGCAATTATGAAAGCCAAGCAACTAAAAATATGACAGAGTTGTAATGTAAGAGCAATTTTGAAAACCTTTGCAGCCTTTGACAACCAAAAAGACGACAGATTTGCTTTGGTCTCAAATTGAATACAGTATTGGATGTTACATCAAAAAGTCCCAATTTTAAAGTAATTAGTTCAAGAATTGCCTCTGCCAAACCTGGAGGTTCTTCTGGTTGTTAGTAATTTCACATTTAAAAGGATCTACAAACCAATTCACAGTTTGTACATCAAGATCTGAAAAGTTTGGTAAGAGGAAATTAGAAAAAAAAAATTTCCCTATTACCCAAAAAAAAATCATTTTTACCCCATTTTGGGTAATTTATCCCAGTTCCCCGACCGCTGATATAGAACAAGCCCTCATGTAACAGTCTCTGGAAGGACGACGCGCATCCGGTAATGTTGCGCATCTTGTAGGTTAGTTGTCCCGTCGCCCTGGATAAGATCCTTTTGCAGAACCTGTATTCCACCGCAGACGACTTGAGATGCTCGCTAATTTCAGCGTCGGTAATGTCCAGGTCCATCCTTGTGAGGACACAAGACAGCGACGCGTTGTGGCCGTGTTTTTTTGGCTCCTTCGCTCTCGACGTAGGACAAGATGTGGCCACAATCCCGCATATCGGTCATATACGCAACGACTACCGCTTTACGGTTTTCTGACTTCAAAATGAATAATTTCCTTTCCCTTGCCAGCCCCCCCTCGACCACAATTTAGATAGTTGTGATCTCATTTTGGCCTCGCGCACGTTTGTCTTGAAAACTACTGTGTTTTTCTTTAATTTCTCTATTTTTCTCTATTTTAATAATAACCATATTTTTTTGCATATTTTGCATTGAAATCTCTACAGCTTTCCTCAAAATACAATAAAATTTAAATTTATTTACATTTATTCCATATTTTCTTGAGAAACTGACAAAGTTCCATATAATACATTTTCATATTTCTTATTTCTTTTCTATGAAAAAGAACGTATTTCTTCTTTACTTTTTCTTTTAATAAAAATTTACATTTTCACACATTTTCTTACAAAAAGTCACTGGTTTTCTTTTTCTCATTATTTACCAAAAATGTAATACATATAAATCTTTCAATAATTTCTTGAAACAATGCAAAATTTAAATATTCTTACACTTTTCACATATTCACTTCAATATATAATAAATAATTTCCCGCAAAAACCGAGAAGATTCCATGTTTTATATAAATTCCCATATTTCCATACTTATATACATTTTTTTTCATATTAGCATTCTTTCGTAGAGAATCAGACATTTTCGGAGCATCCGAACGTTAGCAAAACAAATATTTTAAATTCCTAAGTATTTCTTATAGAAATACACCAATACCTCGCATAGTACGGCCGTTTATTTTCAAACAGTTTTAAAATTCTCAATTAATCCTGTTTCAAATGTGCGGAATATTGATAAAAATGATTGAAATAATGTAAGTGCATTGAAAATGTAGAGAAACCTTCAATATTTGACGAACTTATATAGCTTGTAACACTTTACTTTAACAACATTTTGTTCGCTTAATAATTTGGAAATAATCCCTAAGTAAATACTGAATAAAACATTGCGCAATTTAATCAATCTTCGTGGCTGTTTTGGGTCCATAAATACTGGTAGAATCATGATAAAAAATAAATTTCTTACATAATGTTCTATTTCAGAAAACGGACAGACCGCCGAGCGTCGGACAAATCTCTTTCGTATCGGAAAACTCTTCGACAAAGGGATACCACAGACCCAGTTTCCACAGCGAGCCAGGACCTTGCTCGGATAGAATGGAGGACATCTGCAAGGCCACCAGACACAAATCTGAAGCGTCAGTTCCAACGGAACCGTTATAGGGTTTTGCCTTGTCGCCTAGGTGCGACATCAAAATAGGTGCATCAATCAACGATACGGTCGTGCTCTACACGAAGAGGGACGAACTGATGAAGTCGAGGAACATATAACACCCGGTATTACAACTTAACGCTAACAAAGAATATCTCTGCTGAAGTGTATGTATATATAGGGTAAATATTTTACTATATTTGAATTTGTAATATCATCATTCAATATAATCTATACTTTAAGAGATTTATAACGATTAGCAGTAAACATACTTTATCACTGTTTTCGATGATCCTTCGAAAGATCCAATAAATATTATATTATAAAAAAAACAATTATTTTACTTTATTCCCAATCTCACCTATATTTCTTTGCTAATAAATTTAATTTCTTAATTAATTAATTATTTATTTATTTTAAATTACATTTATTAATCTAATTTAAACTTACAAATATTACATTATTATATTTATAAATAAAGAAAATTTCATATCTAAAGGTTGTCCCAAAAATAACTGACATTTTAAATTTGCCGCCATTCTTTTTGCAGTAAAACCAAAGTGGAGATTTTTATATGCTGTCATTAGTAAACATTGAGGTTAAGTTATGAAAAATACACGATCGAACAATGCATAGAAATTGTAAAAAATCACTTATCAAATCCAATTTCTAGAACCTCTATTTCATTTCATTTCTTAATTAATTACTTTTTTTATGAATCTAATTTAAACTTGATCCTAAATAGTGTATTANCAATTAATTATTTTTTTAATGATGAACTAAGGACATTTTTATTAGTAATTTTATACATCCAATTATTTATTGAAATTTGATCAAAACTTGATCCTAAATAGTGTATTATTATATGTATATTTATAAATAAAGAAAATTTCATATCTAAAGGTTGTCCCAAAAATAACTGACATTTTAAATTTGCCGCCATTTCTTTTCGCGGTAAAACCAGAGTAGAGATTTTTATATGCTGTCATTAGTAAACATTGAGGTTAAGTTATGGAAAAGTACACGATCGAAGAACGCGAAATTGTAAAAATTCAATCGAATCCAATTTATAAAACGTATATTTCACTTAATTTCTTAATTAATTACTTTTTGTAAATTACATTTATGAATCTAATTTAAACTTAGTCCCAAATATTATACTATTATATGTACATTTATAAATAAAGAAAATTTTCTTTTCTAAAGGTTGTCCCAAAAAGAGCTGACATTTTAAATTTGTCGCCATTTCTTTTCGCAGTAAAACCAGAATAGAGATTTTTATATGCTGTCATTAGTAAACATTGAGGTTTCATTATGAGAAAGTGCACGATCGAAGAACACGTTGAAATTGTAAAAATTCAATCGAATCCAATTTCTAAAACGTATATTTCATATAATTTCTCAATTAATTACTTTTTTTAAAAATTATATTTATGAATCTAATTTAAACTTAGTCCCAAATGTTATACTATTATAGATACCTTTATAACTAAAGAAAATTTTATATCTAAAGGTTGTCCCAAAAAGAACCAGAATATTATTATTAACAAACATTGACGTTAAGTTATGGCAAAATACACGATCGAACAACGCGTAGAAATTTTAAAAATTCACTTAAAAAATGTTAATCAAATCAATACATAAAATATTGTATAAAATGCATTGAAATTTACTTAAAAATTGAACTGTATTGAATATATATATATAAAAAATAATTAATTAACTGCAGCTTATTCCGCTTAAATTAAAATATTTTAATAAAGTTTTTTTTATATTAAACCAGCAATAAATATATAAATATTTTCATAAAATCCAATCACGTTTGCCACAAAGCATAAACCGAACTGAGTTTCCAATTACATTTATTCCGATTAAACCATTTTTCATATAATAAAAAACAAATGCATGCAATCCAGTTGATTTATTACATTATTTATTAAATCTTGATTATTTCCAATATTTAATTCATACTATAACAAATCTAGTAATAGAAAATACATTGATACAAATAAAAAAACAGAAATTATACAGAATGACAAGATTTAGTCTAAATTTCAATTATCTTTAGTCCACGACGAATGAAGACAAAATTACAATTGAAATTACAAAGTCCGATTTACTAAATAATTAAGAATTTATATAATCCATGTTATCTCGTAACTTGTATTACTGTTGCTTAAGGAAAGCTTCAAGTTTTGATGGATTATTTCAAATTTATATAACATTGTTTTTAATTAATGAAAAGCAATTGAAGTATTATGAATTAAAGAAATATAATTTGTTACTTTAATTAAATTTAAGAATTTCTATAATTAAGGTTAATTACAGGTAGGTATTATTTTGTAATTAGTAAATTTGGTTTCTCAACGAAAATTACATGAATTTATATTAGAACATGGTGCATGCGCCGGGTATAGTTACTTATTTTAAATTACTATAATCACTATATTTCGACAAATCAATTAAATTATCTCAATTTTGTATTAAAATCATATAATTAATGTTTGTATTTCATATTATACAAAAATAATGAAATAAATAAAATTACAAATAATTTTTTTGGTGGAAGCATAATAATTTTTTTAAATAAATATTCCGCACTGTTTGATACCGTACTAATCGAGAACTTTAAAA